AAATTGTATTGTAACTAGACTGTTTAGTAATTTTTGTTAAATGTGTCAAGATACCTTTTTAAGATATATACCAATATAGGTGTTCTTAGGAACCATTACATCGATATCTTGTCTGTCAATCAACTGCCGAATGGACTCTATTTTGAGTGTCTGTTCCGATACCTCCAGTGCCTGTAAATCGCTTCCGAAATAGTTTATGAGTATTAGTGAACCCAATGCCCAGACACCGACCAAACATTTATTGTGATTATGTTTCATAGCAATTCCTTAAATAGGTAAAGCAGTTATTTTAATTATACAATTTGATAATGTTATTTAATTTTATTTATTTATAATACCTTGGCCTAAAAGTAGACTAAAATAATCAAGACATGTTTTCAGACCATTTATCCCACAAATGGTTAGGAAAATAATGCCAATTATTAGCCACACCTCGAGTTTGAATGTATTAAATATTTTAAACAACTCGTTGTTTGCGTAATATTTCGGTGAACTAACGACAGTTAGCATAGATGAGTCGGGCAACAGGTGCGGAAAGTCGACTAATGTATCCCTGTAGTCAATGTTGACAAAAGGTCCCATGATCAAATCAGAAACCTTGAGACATAATTGCAAGCTCATATTGAAAATATTAATAAAATTAAAATGTTTATACATTTCTCTGTATGAGACCGAGTGCTCCACTCCACGAGCCGTTAGGCAATAGATTACCACAGATTTTATCGTAGAATACGTTGAATACAACCCTTGATAACGATATTAGTTTAAGCAAACAAAATGTTAACTAGCTTTTCATTATTATTGTGCAAACCTTTGGCCGAATTTTTGCATAATAACATCTAGGAGATATTTATATGGATCGCAATATAATGTTAAATTATTATTGACCTTAATGACCTTAAAATAGTATAAAGATATTTTAAAATATTATTTATTTTAAAGAAAACATTATTTACAACCTTATCGACAAACATGACGATTATAATAGCATTGATATCACTATTTGATTGTGAATACAGATTGGTTTCATTTAATTCAATGCAAAACTTGTTGTAATTTTCAAACATTTCAATTAATTCTTATAAATTTTGATTTTAACTGAATTTATATAGCTTATGTGTATTATTTTCTAATCTAGATATACAATTGAAAAGCATTAATTTTTAACTATATTTTAATTAGGAAATTTCAAAAAATATTTTTGAGATTTGAGTATTCGATTTAAAATTAACGGTTAGCCTATTAATTAAATAAGGGGTGATTCACATATTACGTTCGCACTTTCTGATACAATCTGGACCCCTCCTCCTATATTTTCGAAATTGTTAACATGTAGCTATTTTAAAAAAGTACGTCAGCAGTGCTTAACCTCTCACCTTAAAAAATTAAATACCACTAAATTTATAAATAATTTACTTAAAATTAACCCAATCATTTAGATAATTAATTATAAACCTGTTATTGTCAATTTAGAAATAGTGCTAGAGGTAGTCATGTTGTTGACGGTAGGTATTCCAATTAAACCGGGAAGTATGGGCTATAAAATAGTGAAAAGAGGATTAGGATTGGATTATCCGTTTTGGAGCATTTAATTTTAATCGGAAAAAAGTTGTTACCTCCACCGGTTATATATTATAAGGCCAGTGCTTAATAATATGTAGATTGTTTAGTGATATTATATAACATATATTTTTTATTATGCTTTAGTATTAGTGTTGCGGTACTAAACAGTATAAGTATTAAATTACTATATTTTATATTATTTTTTATGATTATATTATACGTAAATTTTAAATATTATAATATTAAATAAAATGCATCATTTAATAAAAATTTAACAATAAATGTAAACAATTTGCACATTACTGTAATCAGAGTTTTTATTGTGAAAATAAGCTGCACTCAAATATTTATGTTTATTACTAAAGTACTGTATATTGCTCTTAGGTTTTACTAATATTTTACATTAAGTAAACAAGACTCAATTATTTATATAAAAAACTCCATTAGTTTTTAAATATTAGTTAAAGTAGTAGAATAGATTTTAAAAAATAATGCTTATAAATAGAAATATTTATTTTTATATTTGATAAAGTTAGATTAAAAAATTTACTCAAAATTCTTTTATTACTTTAAAATAGTATTATATTTTAATAAATATCTGGCTTACGTATTATTAAAATATTATTTAAAAATCATTATAAATGAGCTACTGTATTTGTTTAGTTTAATATTTAAAAACAATATTCGCGGTAATTATAGCATGCTAAATCTTATATAATTATTAGTTTTACACATATCTCGGTAGTGGTGGTGGAACTGGAGTCAGTTCAACAGTCTGTCCATCAATGATCACCCCGGTTGGTGCATTGGTACTGGGTAATTGTTGTCGTAATTGAATCTTTTTACAGTCACTAGCGAATGAAAACGCAAGTATGGTAATGCCCACGCTTACAAATACACCAGGAACATATTCAGGATTTAAAAAGGCCATGGGTATATTATCAATTAGTAACAACAGACACAGTCCCATAAACGCCCGTGTGAGCCGGTAACTTTCTTTATAAGCACCAAACACGCCTAATGAGGTAAATCCAACAGCTACTATACCCAGTACAATTATCAATATGATTATGTCAATCTGAAAAGTTTAAAAAACAATTTTTAAAAATCTATTACTAATTAATTAAAAAATATTATAAATGAAAAAATATTTATGTTAATTATATAAAATTTCAGCCATGTAACTTACTCCTGAATCTGATAATTTAGTTATTAAGTAGATGAATACGATTGCTGAAATAATTGTACCAAGCAAGCTTAAAGTAAAAAGTGACCACTTTTTCACTTGAAAGCTAGTACTTTGACGGATGTCCACATTTGTCACCATTACCGATAACATTTATAACATATCGTATATTTATTATAATATTTTAAAATAATTATACAGTAATAGTGAACACAAGTGTTATATAAATATTGGCACAACTCGTGTGAAACACAAACTTAAATGAATGTTAATAGAGATTGAATCCATTTAAATACCAGTCAATAGACTTTAAAAATACAGGAGCCCTATTTATAAACAACACGTAATTCCCTAAATATGCCAGTATTATCATTCATTTTATAACATATAAGTTTAGATTTCTAAAAAACATGTCATTGTATAAATGTCTAAAAATATATTAACTTGTAAAAGCAATTGAGTATACGCGTTTTTAACTGGTTAGTATTTGAATTGGTCACTAGTGGTCTACATTTTCTAAAAATGTTTTATATTTATATTGAATATTCCAACAATATCTATGATAATAATAAGTCACATCAACACTAACCACTACTAACCAATGTTAGTACTATACACAACATACAATTATTATTCTAATAGTAGAAACTATTTATGTTGAATGCAACAATAATTTAACATTATTTTTTAATACTGACCATAACTGATTGGTCACTAAAATCTAGCCTTGTTGCTTAAATTATCAGGTAAAGAAATTAATTTCCGGACTGGACCTTGATCAGTAAAAATTCGCTCATTTATTAATCAAAAAATTTAAAATTAATCTGCTTAAACTCCAACTATGGAATTTAACATTATATAAGCCCCCGAAGTGACAACTTGATTTGAGCACCGGTAGATAAGCACCGGTAGTTTTTGTAAATTACGCTATAACTTTAAAAGTATCAGGTATATTTTAACAAATGATATACCGTTGGAAAGAGCTTCAAAAAGTACGGATACCTATGTCTCATGAAATTTCTCTAGGATGATTAGTTTAAGCACTGGGAGGCCAGGTATGCAATAAAAATTGTTTTTTAAAGAATTATTAAAGCTATATCGATTAGAATATAAAAAAGTTATGATATGGAAAATGTAGAGAATTCAATTCTTTATCAGTTAAAAATTTGAAAAAATTTTCGATAATTCAAAGCACCGGGACGAAAGGTAGATTTATAGTGATTTCATTATAAGTCACAGAGTAAATCTAATTACTGCGTTTGATAGAGTTTGAAAAATAGATATGGTTCACCATTTTAATTTTTCAATTATCCCTCAGAATAGATGTGCTAGAGCATGTTAAAGTTTAGACTTTAACATTGTTTTTTCCGTTGGAAGGTGATATGATTTTTATTTTGGTTATAAATATTTTCTTATAGAATGAAACAATGTTAAAGTCTAAACTTTAACATGCTCTAGCACATCTATTCTGAGGGATAATTGAAAAATTAAAATGGTGAACCATATCTATTTTTCAAACTCTATCAAACGCAGCAATTAGATTTACTGTACAAGATTATACAGTATTCTACTGTATTATATTTACACCATACTATCAATGGATTTATCGCGCAAATTATTTTCGTACATTGCTTATTTTAGAATTTAAAATCTATTTTTTAAAACTATTATATAATTAAATAAATAAATATTATTTTTCCATAATACTGTATACTAAAAAGGTGATATGATTTTAAGCTTATGGTCAATTAATTTACCTATCTCCATATTAATTCTTAGGATCAAAGTTTTATATTAATTTAGTTAAATGTTATATTTCTATAGTAATGGATACCCGTAATAGCTATTGCTTTGGATTGCGAAAAGGTTTTATAATTATCTTGAGTTTATTTCAAGTTATTGCCATTTTATACTGCATGTATTTGGGAAAATTTTAATATTAATAAAATTAATTTTAATCGTATCGAATTAATTATTATAATTTTATATAAGTAGTTTAATATTTATAATAAATGATACAATTTCGAAAATAAATGTTATTAAAGATAAAATAAAACCAAAAATCAATATTACAAACGATATCAACAATTGTTTCGCATTTGATGCAAAATTTTTTGTTTTAAAATTATTTCCATTATAATGATATATAGTAGTGCCACTAATATTATGCACCATATAATCCCTATATAAGCTATCAATCACAATTTGCGATGATTTATCATTTTCAATGCCAGACTCGTATAGACATTTCAAACTGAAAACATATAAAAAAATTTTTACAATATACCAGTATAATGTACAATGTACATATAAATTTTAAAAATTTTAAATATTTTTCAAAAATTACATAAAAATTACATTTCAAACATTTTTCTGAATTGTATCTTAAATTCTTGGGACACAGTCCGTCGCATAGGAATGCCATACAAATACATATCCTGGTTATCACTTGATGCCACCAAATCATAGTTTGAATAATATTTGACTAATGAATTGAACCAAACCTTTGAAACAATTAACACTACATTTTGTTCAAAAGTTTCAATATAGTATTCAATCAGTAAGTCTCCTGACGCTCGACATACTGTATGCGAGGTATCAGCTCTTTGTGGCGCTAATTAAAAGTCATATAATTCATTAATGCAATTATATATTATATCAACTAGTTGGTTTAGTAATCTTTGTTAAAATATATCAAAATACCTGTTTAAGAAGCCTAACATTAATGGTGTTCTTAATAACAATTAGATCGATGTCTTGTCTATCAATCAACTGTTGAATGGACTCTATTTTGAGTGTCTGTTCCGATACCTCCAGTGCCCGTAAATCGCTT